CCAAGTTGTTTCATCTCAAATTCAGATATAAGGTATTTTTATAAACTAGAAATCTCTTCTTGGTCATTTCCTGTAACAATCATGTCATCTACATATATAATCAAAGCTGTAATTTTTCCTTTTCCTCTCTTCAAAAATAAGGTGTGATCAGAGTTACTTGCTCTATAGCCAAAAGCCTTCATAGACTTGGTAAACCTTCCAAACCATGCTCTTGAGGATTGTTTTAACCCATATAGAGCCTTCTTTAATTTGCAACTTTCATTCCAATTGAATCTATCATGCCTGTGGATAATCCATATAAATTTCTTCTAAAATTTCTCTATGTAGGAAAGCGTTTTTCACATCAAATTGTAGAAGAGGCCAATCTTGGTTTGCTGCTAGTGACAGAAGTATTCTCACAGTGTTGAGCTTAGCTACCGGTGCGAACGTCTCTTGGTAATCTACACCATAAGACTGAGTGTAACCTTTAGCCACAAGTCGTGCTTTATACCTCTCAATAGTTCCATCAACTTTATGCTTAATTGTAAATACCCATTTGCAACCCACAGTTTTCTTCCCTCTTGGTAAGGACACAAGATCCCAAGTGTTGTTTTTTTCTAAAGCTGCCATCTCATCAACCATTGCTTTGGTTCATCTAGGATCTGCCAAAGCTTCCTGTATATTACTAGGAATAGAAATTAAAGATAATTGAGATACAAATGATGCATATGACTCGGATAACTTGTGAGATGACACATATTTACTAATAGGATATTTAACTTTGGCTTGGAGGTCTGGTTCATATTTAGCTGGAGGTTGACCACAGTTAGAACGAGGTGGAAGATTATATTGGACAGTAGTAGACTTAGTGTTTGGTGTGCTGGTGGTCTCACGCAGACAAGGATCAATTTCATGATCGGTTTCATCTAAATTAGTATTATCAAGGTAAGGTCAAGAGAAACAATTTCATGATTAGTTTCATCTATATTAGTATTATCAGAGATAGGATCAGAAGGTACCTCTGATGAGTCAAGCCAAACCTGTGGAGAAGATTGAGCCAATTGGTTATGATCAGAAGACACTGTATTATCCAAAAAAGAAGTGTCCATATTTAGGATTGGCTCACTTCCTGCAGAATGATCCTCACACGATAATTTATCTTCACAGTATAATTTTATATTTGGGATATCAAACATACTAATATCATGATTATGCACTTCACTTTCATTGCCTCCCTGAAGTGTAGAATCAACATAAAAAAATTTATGCTCATTAAATGTCACATTCATAGAGATATAAAAATTATGTGATGGTGGATGGTAAGCACGATAGCCTTTTTGAGTTGATCCATACCCAACAAAAACACATTTTAAAGCTCGTTCTTCAAGCTTTGTACATTGATGTGGGTGTAAGTGAACATATATAACACATCCAAAAATATGGGGTGGTAAATAAACCATGGAAGGAAGGATACAATGATCAAACAACACATCTAAAGGCCTTCGAAAGTTAAGTACACTAGAAGGGGTTCGATTAATCAAATAAACTGCAGAGCTCACAGCTTCACCCCATAAATGAGATGGGACATTACCATCTATCAAAAGTGATCTTGTCACCTCTAATATATGTCTATTTTTTCTCTCAACCACTCCATTTTGTTCTGGTGAATAAGGACATGTAGTTTGATGTAAGATGCCTTTAGAGTTCATGAACTCTATTAACTCAGTCTTAAAATATTCCCCTCCATTGTCTGATCGAATGACCTTAATATATGTGTTAAATTGTGTAACTATCATATGATGGAAGGAACGAAACACATTACACACATCACTTTTATGTTTAAGCAAATACACCTAGGTTACCCGAGTACAATCATCAACAAAATTGATAAACCATTTTTTTTCCATTATGTGTAGATTGTGGGGCAGGGCCCCAAACATCTGTGTGGATTAATGAAAAAGAAAAATCTGTTTTTTTATTGCTTAAAGGAAACACAGCACGATGACTTTTTGCCATTATACAAGTTTCACAAAGAAAATCAGAAATATTGCATTTATGAAATAGTGATGGAAATATTTTTTTTAGATAACCAAAAGAGGAATGTCCCAATCGTCTATGCCATAACCAAATTTCCTTTTTGTTTTTATCTTGTATGTGTTCATTCGCAAGACAAGCCAACGCTCTGTTATGGGTTTGTTGTGAGACATTTTCAAGATAATACAGTCCTTCACTCTCTCTACCACTGCCAATCTTCTCCTTGGAATGGATGTTCTGAAAAAGACAATGGGTTGGATAAAACGAGGCAACACAAGAATGTGATTTGGTTTACTTGCTGACAGATAAAAGACTACAATTCAATGTAGGAACAAATAAAACATCAAAAATTGATAAGGAGGGTGAGAGGGATATAGTACCTACACCTTCAATAGGAGATGAGACCCCATTGGCATTAATAATAGCAGTTTAGAACAATTAGGGGAAAAATTAGTAAATTTATGTGGGTCACAAGTCATATGATCAGTAGCACCTGAATCAATTATCCAATCACTACCCCTAGTAACAATAGAAAGATTAAGAGCAGAGTTAGATATACCTGACTTGGTCACAAATCCGGCAGCAGTAGAACTATAGCTCTTGGAAGTAGCTTCTACCTTGGTATTAAGAGTAGTTTTGCCTTTTGGATGCCAATCCGGATAGCCATGGAGTTTAAAACATGTCTCCATGACATGATTATCCCTATTGCAGTGCGTACACTTGCGAATTCCTTTCTTAGGAAACTTCTTAACAACAAAGGCAGTCCCCATAGTAGACTCACTATCAAGCATAGCCTCTTGGCGGTTTGCCTCGGCACAAACAGTTGCATAAACTGATTGAACATTTGGAAGGGGAGTAGTAACAAGGATACGACCACGAACTACATTCAAATGTGTATCCAGGTCAGCCAAAAAGACATAAACTCGTTGAGAATTAATCATGTTGTTATACTTTTCAACATCTTTAGGACATTCCATGGTACAATTCATGATAGTATCATGTTCAGCCATAATCTTTGCAATTTACCAAAATATGTAATAACAGATCCTCCATTTTGCTGAGTAAAGATTACCTCACGATATAATTGATATAATCGGGACGTATCCTGGTTGACTGACTATGTTTGCTGCACAGTGTCCCAGATGTCCTTTGCCGTAGTTAAGCGAATAACGAGGGATCTGATTTCTTTCGTCATAGAGTCCAAAAGCCAAGATTTGACTAGGCAGTTTTCATCTTCCCATGCTTCATATTCATCAGATTTCTTGTTTTCTGGTGCAGCCTTTGTTCCAGAGATGTAACCCCAATGTTTTCTGCCTCTGATCTTGTTCTGTGCGTTTAAAGACCACTCAACATAGTTGGTGCCGTCAAGCCGTTCAGGGGTGAGCGCTTCGTGCATATGGGTAGCAGCGGAAGTCCCAGAATCATGTTTCTTCGATTGATTTTTATCGGAAGAAGCCATTAGAAATATTCAATGAAATAAAGAAGCATCGATTCCTATATTGTAGAGGATGTCGGTGTTTGGCTCTGATACCATATAAAAAAGGTTTAAAGAATAATTCTGATATCTTATTTTAAAGAATAATGTACCATATATATACATACAAGGGTGCTATAATTCCTCCTCTATTAAAAGAATGACAGTTACACAAGTTACCTCACAGCGGTAATAATGCCTAAATTACAGCTAACACAATATTTGATTGCCTAATACTTGTTAATAGAATATTTGACATATCTTAACAAGAGCAACAACACAGTGGCGACAGAAGAGTAATGACGTAAGAATATACTTTCAATGAAATGGAAATTAAGGTTAATGGAAGTTGCATGGGCTAGGCTAGTGCATTATTTTAACTTAAATTAGTATCTAACTATTTTTAACCATTTGAAATTAAAATTTTAACTTATTTGATCTGATATCCAAATCGATCCACCCATTAAGCTTTTTTCATTCTTTGATTGTTATGGGTTTGGTTTATTTGTTGAATTATGCCCAATAATTCGTTTCCTTTTTCTCTATTCCTACTTACCTTCTAACACTTTCATTTAGCACTTGATATTTTTCCATAAGATTTAACCTTTTCTAGATATGGCAACAACACTTCTCAAGAAACAAATAAGAAGATAAAGAACCACATTTTGTGTCTACTACAAAGTTTTCTAATAACATCCAACAAACTCAACAAAAAGTACACCTTTTTTTTGTTTTCTAGAAATACAACTAATTGTTGACTTCAACCTCACACAAGTTTTAAATTTCACAACTTGGGAAACTAAAGCATAAAAAAGAAAAGATTCAAAATTTTAAGGTCTATCAAGAATCGCAATAAAAGTGAGTATTGTTCCTTTGAGTTTGTTGTTGAGAAAATAGATGTTGGTAAGGTTAGAATGAATGTGCATTGAAAAAAAACTAGTGACATTGGCATAAGAAATGGTCAAAATTTTGAGTGTTAAAGAAGGCTCAAATGGTGACAACAAAGTTATTAGTGAACACATACGTAAATGATGATTGACAATATTGATTTCTAGCTATAGTAGTGTTAAAGAAGAATGATAGGTACATAGAAGATTTTAAGAACCAAAGACTAAAATGCTTTACAAGTGACAATCTCTAATACTAAAATGAAATGAAAACATATATCATATTATATACAATATTTTTACCACACAATCAATAATACGTGTCATTTAATGTGATATGTTAGCATTTATTACTATGTTGACAGTTTGTGACTTGAAGCACTAAATGGTGGATGCAGACAAAAGTTAGGAACTAACATGACAATTTTAAAATTTTAGGCACACAGATGGTTGACGTTTACCATCTTAGGGACTAAAATGAGGGTTTAGCTAATATTCAACTTATATTATATCTTTTTTTTCTCTTATCATAATGTTTATTTGTTTTACATTTGATAAATAGATTCAAAAGAAAATAAAATTCAAGGTCCATTCTTGATTTCTTTGGCATGGGGATAGTTAAGAAGAGTTGAGTCATGGTCAATTTACATCATAATTAATAACAATAAATTTTACACCAAAGTATAGAGTGAAGGCATGAAAACTTCTAATTAAAAAGTTAGTTCTCTTTAATTGTGACTGATTTGATAATACTTCTAATCAAGGGACAAAAGTATACAATTGATATGAAATTGTGTAAGTTTGACAACTGTTACAGAATTTCACTTTTCAAAAAGTTTTCAACCAATGGGCATTATGCCCATCAATTGTATTAAAAGGAAACATTTGATACCCTTCTAGTATTGTTCTCGTAAAGACTATACTGTTAAGACCTACTACTATTATTTCTTAAATGTTAAGTAAATTCAAAACTTAAGAATGTTCGAATCAAATTAAAGTGTGGAATTGAAAAAAAATAAAAATAAAAAGTGAAGAAGTCACAAAGTTAATTTGATACGGATAAAAGTATGAGACTTTTATTTCTTCATGTGATTACTTATATGTTCTTTAATTTAATTCTATTTCATTGTGTTAAAGTAATTATTAATCATCTAATCAAATATATCACTACATAATGATCATAGAATAATTTAAGTCTCTTTTTTTTATCTATATGTTACCGCAATAAATATGAGTATTAAAAAACATCAAATTTGTTAAACTCAATTAACTAATTAGAAGTCTAAACAATAAATTGATATGATTAGTTTCTCAACCCAAATTACCTCTTGGTTATATTAACCTATTAATTATATGGTCACCAATTAATTAGTTAACTAGGATTAACCCTTGAGTAATCAATTCAATAATACCAATAACAACAAAAAGATAATTTTAATTAACGAATGACATCAACTGTATAAAATCAAATTGAGGTTTAGAAAATGTTACACAATAAGAATCTACTTCAGTTATATGACTAGATGTATTTAGTTATATATAATTATAAAGATGAAAATAAAGGTAACTAAACACAAAACATCCATAATCACAAATAATAAAGAAAGAGAAACCTTTATAGTTGATATGCTCTCCCGAAAGCATAATTGTGTGATGAGAATATTATCTCTTAGGGATCCAATGGAGGTAACACTTAGAATGAGAGAATGAGAGGAGCTTAGGATGGAAGGTTTAGAATTTTAGTGTGTAGAGATGATGATAGATCAAATATGTCTTTACTAGAAAGAATGAGGACCTTTATAAGGAATATAGAACTCAGAAGATATATATATGATCAAACCTCTTAAAAATCCTATTTTTCTATTATTTGATATCACAAAGCTCGACACATGGCATGCTCTTCTTAAGCACATCCTTGACAAAGATGACGTCATTCCAGCATAGGGCCCGCTGGTGTAGAGCATGGGGTATCTCACTTGAAATTCAGCATATGACATGTTAATTCCAAACACGCTCTCTCTAGTTGAGCATGAGGTTTGTTGATGTTAACAAGAGTGTGTTAGATTCTTCTTCTTCTTCTTTTTACCAATTCCTTGACTATATTCTTCAATTTTCTTTATAATTTGACATGTTTAGTCCAAGTTGAAATATCATACTCCTTTGACACAAAGAATATGCTATTTTAAAGAACATAATGAATAAGTTATGATGGAGTAAAGACATTGGCCTTTGGATCACTCCTGATGTGAAGTAGGAGTTAGGACATTCATTGGGATGAAGAAGAGTTTCAAAAGAAGAGCATTATTGCTAAGCAAAATCGACTTATATATGGATAGTAGAACATCTTTATATATTAATGGCTTTATATTTATTATCATGTATTGTAATAAGATGGTAATTATTTAAAATGTTTTTTTTTTAGTTTCTATTATTAAAATTTTAAACTTGTAATATTAATCATGTAGAGTTTGTAAAAAAAAAAAGCTAAAGAATGGGTGAACAATAAGGCCAACAACATTGTTATATATACCTTTCTCAAGACTTCTTTTCATTGATATGTAATTTCATTTTGTAGAAAGAGTTTATTTGTCATTGAACAGAGACGATGATGACCATGATGAATACAGTGCCCCTAGTAAACATTTTGTAACTGCTAACGATCTTATTGGGTGAAGAGTTTGTAGCCCTATCCTCTTAGTGCACGCAATCTCTAGTATTAACTATTAGCATGTCATTGCTAACTTTAATATAGAATTAGCATCAAAGGATATATGTATTGACACTATGTAATCTAACTTGGATAGGACTAAAACTATAGCTATATGTAATTAAACTTTAACCTCCATACACAATAAGAAAATATTTAATTAGCCACTGAATTTAGTAACTGAAATAAATCCGTGGTAAGTAGCAACCAATTTAACCACTAAAAAATATTCGTTGCAAATAGTAACCAAATTTAGCAACAGAACAAAATCAGTAGCAAATAGCTACTAATTTTAGCAACTGAAACAAATTTGTGGCAAATAGCAACCAATTTAGCAACCGAAAAAAAATACTTGGTAAATAGCTACTAAATTTAGCTACCAAAACAAATTTGTGGCAAATAGCCACCAAATTTAGCAACTGAAACAAATCTGAGGCAAGTGTTATTTATACACAAAATACAAAAAATGATATGAAATTTATATTTTTTATAATAACAAATTAAAGTTGTTCTTAAATTCTATTATTTTTAATTAAATATTTTAAATATAATAAGCATTGCAGGATCGATACGCACAACGCCTAGTATCCATTGTTTACGGCTAGGACTATTAGGATATCTAATCCCATTCGCTCCCTTAGCTTTCGTCTCTCAGTGTCTGTGTCGGCCCAACAGAGTGCTTTCGTCGTTGGTGTTCTTTCCGATTTCTACACATTTCACCGCTCTACCGGAAATTCCAAAACAACGAAGAGCGGCTTTTGCTAAAACTCTAGCAGTTTCTCGAAAACTCTAGTTGAGTATTTAGAGATGTTTTTGTTATTCCCAATAATAGAGCCAAAGAAATATTCTAAATAATTAAAGGAGAGGGACTCAGAACGAAGGAAAGGGAATACTACTAATGCTTGCTTCAATCACTTTCTTTATCTTGTAGTCGACTGCAATTGAAAGATTCGTTCCTATTTTAGGATTGAGGTAGTGTCTGCCCACTAATGTGAAGATTGGGTGGGGGAGAGGTGATTTCGACAAAAGATAATTTCTTTTTTATTTATTTATTGAGTTCCAAGCTTAAGAGCCGAATTAGCCATTAGGATTGGTGGAACTTATAGTTTCATGTTCTATTTCACTTTCCGATGGGGGTTCTTTTCACCCTTCGCTCATGGTACTACTTCACTATTGGTCAGCAAGGAATAAAGGCATGAAAACTTCTAATCATGGTGTCTGGGGACAAGGAACACACGATGCATTAATTGATGACTTTTATGGAATGTTGACTAATATTATTGAATTGGAGTATACTGGCATGCCCATTAAAAAGTTAGTACTCTTTAAGCATGAGTGGTTTGATGATACTCCTAATCATAGGACAAAAGTAGATAATTAATATAGAATTGTTCAATTTAAGCAATCATAAAGATATAAGGTGTATGACCCACTCATCTTTGCACAACAAGCTGAACAAGTTTGTTACACACCATATCCAAAAGGACTTCGCGATTGGGTAGTTGTCATTAAGACTAAGGCACGCAGTGCAATAAATAATAATTTGTTTGATCAAGTTGATATTAAAACTCCATATCAAGATGTGCATGTTATTTATGACCTTCATGTAATGTTGCATACTGATTTTGATCTTTGTGATGATAGTCTTGTTGATATTAGTGGTATAGGTGATGAAGTTGATGTTGAATCATTATTTAATCAACAAAATTGAGATGAGTATAATAAGGACACACCTTCCTCAATTGAATGTGATAGTGAGACTCATAGTGAAAGTGACATTAATACTGACTTAAGTAATACATTGTCACCTTAGGTAATTATTTATTATATTATATGTCATCTTTATAATGTGCATAAAATTTACCTATATTTTTTTTTCAAACAAACAGATAGCAGACAATAATAGTAGAGGTACAAGTCGAGGTCGATTTTGAAGTCGTGTTAGAGGTAATGTTCAAACATCTTTTACATAAATACAAGTCTCACCTAACTAGTAAAACATGAGTAATACATCAGGCTCGGTAGCATCACATATAGATGTTGATTTAATTCCATCTAATCCTCAAAATTTAGGAGGCATGAATACTTTTACCAGCACATAGCCGCCTTTAAGAGGATCATTGTTAGAGCAGTGTATGTCTTCATTGTTACCAATTTCTAGAACTACAAATTCCACTAATCAGAAGATATGGCTTGCCCCAGGAGCCAAACATGAGTAAGTTAGTTTATTTGTACAATATTATATCAAAATATTTTTCTTTATAATCATATAATTTTATGATATCATTATTTTTTTCCAATAGTTACCTACCTTCAAATTATCCTTCGAAGGTTATTTTCAAAATAATCACGTCTAAGTTTGATAGTCCATGACCTACTTGGACCAAAGTGCCACAAGAAGTGAGAAAAATGTGGTTTAAAGAGTTTAAGGTAACATATTTTAAAGTTATTGTGTTATGTATATATTAAACCCATAAATTGTTTCTAACATGTAAGCAAAAATAAAATAATTGTCAAGCATATATATTTATTAGGTAATTTTCTTTTTTAGAGAGAAGGGAATAGTTTACATTCCATGTGATTAACAACTCCTATATATGTTATTGTATTTCTCTATTTGATTTATTTTTATTTGCAGAAAACATACAAATGGCTCTCTCAGCATAATCTTACCATTTGATCTATTTCTGAGCACAAAGGCTCTATTGTTTTAAAGAACATAATGTCTAAGTTACAAAGGGTTAAAAATAAGGTCCTTTGGATCATTGTTGGTGTGAAGGAAGGGTTGCATACTCATTGGGCTGGAGAAGAGTTTCAGAAGAAAAGCACTATTGGTAAACAAAATAAAGCTGTAGATGGTGAAGCATCTTTATACACTGGTGGCTTTGTATTTACTGTTGTGCATCATGATAGAATGGTAATTATTTAAATTATCTTTTTTTTAAATAATTTCCTTCATTAAAAATTTACACTCGTAATATTATGCAGATTGAGCAACTTAAGTGAGTTTCCACAACATTTGATATAATAGGAAAGACAAAAATAAATAAATAAATAAAGCTTGAGAATGAGTTAATGACAAAGCCAAAAACATTGTTGTATATGCCTTTCTACATACTACTTTTCATAAATTTTAGCCTTACTTTTATTATAAATTATGACTAATATGTTATCTAATTTTTTTGGATAAGTTTATTCAATGTCGAACTGAAGCCCATGCACATGACAATGATAATCATAGTGGAAGAGGGTGCTTTAGGTGACCATTTTGTAGTTGTTGACATTGCCATTTTTTTTAGAAGTTGTTGGAGGAGGAAACAAGAAAGGTCATGTGTATGGGTTAGGACAATTAGGTGAAGAGTTTATGATCTCATCCTCTCCTTGTATGCAATAAGATCTTAGTTCTAGTGTTAACTATCAACAGATTATTGCCAACCTTTATATAGAATTAACACGAAGGGCATACGCATTGATACTATGTAGTTTGAATTACAAAGGACTAATTCAAAACTACAGAAGGTCAAGGACATTCTCCAACAAGTTATTAAACACTTAAAAATTTCAACTAGTACTCAAGTGGATGATTCTCGTATTAGTAGTGATGATGTTGGTTCTCATCATGATAACATTGATCCATTTTCATTATTTATGACTTTTTTTTTTCTATTTATTATGTCAATGATTGTTTCCTTCATATTTTTTTAGCTATACTTTTGTTATGAAGTTAAATATATATTATTATGGATTCTATAATTAAGTTACTTATTTAGATGTATTTTTTTATCATGTTTGTAGTTTTGGACTATTAGCAGGTTTTGCTAAATATCACATCTTATATAAGTATTTTTTTTGTTAAACAAACATGTCTTGATGAAAAAAATAAAAAAAAGTTAAATTATTCATTATAATTAGCCATCGAATTTAGCTACCAAATTAGCAAACAATTTTGCTACCAAATGTTTGTTGTAGCTTAGCTACTAAAATTGCAATCAAATAAGGTAGACGTAAAATTGCAACTGAATTAGCTATCAAAATGCTAGTAGCAGAATACAACCAAATAGCAACTAAAAAAGGGGGTTGTAATTAGCAACCGAAATAGGTAGTCACAATTAGCAACTAAACTAGCAACCAAGAAGGTAGTGGCTAAATAGCAACAAAATTTGTTCGATTGCTAAATTCAAATTTCTGCAACCGAATACATTTTTGGTTGCTAAAGGTGTTTGCAACCAATATTTTAGTGGCTAAAAAAATTTTGCAACTGAATGATATTTTAGCCACCAATTTTGTCGGTTGCTAAATGCATTTTTTCTTGTTGTAATAAAAAACTAATTTGATTAATATTAAAATTTAACTTTTAATATTTATTAAATTTATATATAATAATAAAAATATAAAACCTTAATTTTTTAATTATTACTTTAAAAAATGACTCTGATGAGTCAACCTATTCCATTCTTGCCTAACTTATTTTAAAATGCAAGTTAAACGAATATGAGTAAGCAAATTGAAAAGTTTGAAATTACACCCTTTCAATTAAATTTAGTATGTTGAGTGAGTCAATCTAAATATTACCAACCTTGTCCAAAAGTTAATAGGTCTACTCACATGGCAAGCCTTTATGCCTCAATCTTAAGATTTGAGACTTAGAAGATGTGTACCTCCTAAGACTTAGTCAGTAATCCTTAGAAGCGGTTGTAACTCCATGAAAGGCTATGGATGTTTATAGCAAGGGAAGCTCAAAATTTAAAGGACGTGTTGATAAGTTTGTGTTTTGGCCCGCTTTTATAGCATATATATTTATGTTTGACTTTTATTTTATTTGGGTTTTGCACTGATTTATATATTAATTTTGTAGTTTAGCATAAAAAGATCATAATTGGGTTTAAAACACTTTTTGGACTCAAATTAGTTGAAAAACAATTTCGCAACAGTCAGCACGCCCAGACCTTAAAAGTAAGCACTGTATACTTCGAGCCCATGTACGACTATGCTTATGGCCTTGCATAGCTGTACTCATCCGTGACAAGCCCAATTATGAAGAGCTTATAGAGTTTTCAAACCCTATTAAAAAGGAACCTCAGACATCATATTCTACATCTAGCTTTCGCTCTTTGATATACCTTTCATCTCATCTTTCTTGCACGGAATCTTTGGCATACTCTTGGCAAGACTTGGAGCTTTGAGTAACCGTACTTGAAGACCAGGAATTTATCTCATCCCTAATTTGTTATTTCTTTTGATTATGCCTTTGTTTATGATTGTTTTAGTTCTTTTCTTTAGTATAAGTAACTAAGTTCATGGCTAGGACTATGAGAATCCTTGTTCATGAATTTATGAGATTTTGAAGTTTAAATCTAAGTTTGATTTCTATTTGTTTATGATTGTTTTAATTCTTTTTTTTAGCATGAGTAATTAAGTCCATGACTAGGACTATGAGAATCCTTGTTCATGAATTTATGAGATTTTGAAGTTTAAATCTAAGTTTGATTTCCATTTGTGATTAACGTTTATCTTATTACGCATAATTGTATAATCCTAATTAATTATATCGTCAGATGATCGTACCTTGATTAGCTAATGAATTTATAGGATAAAACAAGACAAAAGATTAGGTGGACCAAACTAATGTTTCTCTTTCAATCGTTATTAAATTAATATGTTCATAAGTGTTTTATAGTTTCTTGAATTAATATCTTACATGACCATTGTGGATACTAGTTTAGAAAAAAAAATGTTAATATTCCATAACTATTGAGTATTAATAATAATTGTATGAATGATTGGTAATCACAAGAAAATCAAACTTAAAATTAAGCAGAAAAATAACATAAATAATTGAATAAAAAAATTCATATGTCCTAGGTTTCTCTTCTATAAATTCAATTAAGACGTCCATTGTATTTCTTGTTCTAATTTTTATAATTAATTTTATAATTAAATTATTATTTTAATTAATCTCATATCCTTTAAGTTTAAACAATTAAATCAAAAAATTTTTAGTAATTAAAAAATAATCTTTGTGAGACAATAATTTCAAAAACTTAATTTAAGAACCTTATATTACTTTTTGATGAATACACTTGCTTACCAAACACATGTATAAAGCATTAATGCGGTATCAAGAGTTTCTTTGAATTACAAGATAATTATATCCTTAAATAATGCCCTTTGATACTCCGATGTAAGAATACAAAGTCATGTAGTTTTTTTAATTATTTTATTTATTTAAAACATTTGATTTATTTTATTTTATCTAAAAATCTGGGGTTTGTGATAGAATTAGGATATAGAATTATTTTAAAAGTTTAAAATCAAGAAATTGAGTTAAAACTTGATAAATTTCAAAATATTTTATAATATGTGAAATTATAATTTTAAGAATAAAAATTTTGAGATTTTTTTGGTGAAATTTAATAATTTTTTTGATTAATTTTTTTTTAATATAAGACAACTTAATCGATTTAATTTATAAAAAAATCAAAAATAAAATGAGAATTTGAAAAATTTAGGTTAAATAAAATAAATAAAGATACTAAAACTGTCTGTGTTTTAAAAATAAAATAACTTAATTAATTTAGAAACTTTAAAAATCAAAATTTTGCAAAGTTCAAACTAGAGAAATGAATATTTTTTTACAATAAAACATTATTCTTTTGTATACCAATGTAAAATTAATGTTACCCCATGTCTCTTATGGAGGAAATGATAATGTTAATTATGTGATATTATTAGTTTGAATGTAACTTTGATAACTATTTTACACATTTAATATTTTTCATATTTAACTAAATCTTTAATGATAAAAGAAAGTTTTTGATATGTTCATATTTTCAATATTTAAAAATTAATTTTGGTTATTTAAAATTTTGCTAAGAGCACATCTTTCAATAAAATCAACATTTTAATTATAATTTTACGCTGGTACATATATTTTTTTAATAATTTGAGTTATATAATTTTACAAGTAGTTGGTGTACTTGTATACGTGTATATATTAATTAAGGATACATAAAAAATTAATATAATACAGTATGATATGTAAAATCATAAATATAATTTAAATTTTAGTGTAATAAACAACCAAAGTGTAATTAAAAATAAAATTCACTTAATTATTGAATGTCTAGACTAACTGACAAAGTGACGGGCTGATTCTAGCTTACTGAAAATGACAAATTGGCCCTTTGCACCTGTTGGTCTCTAGCTCATTTTGTTTTATTAAAAAAAAATATAAAATTATTACTATATTTGATAAAGTTTATTCACAACATAAAATTTAAATTATTAAATTAACTATAATTAAAAAAAATTTAAATAAAATACACAATAAATAAAAATAAAAATTTTAAATTCTCACTCTTTTATTAAGATTTAGAATTCTTTTTAGTTTATTAAAAATTCTCAGTAAAATTTTTTAATTTCTTAAAATTAAATATTTAAACAAAATATTTTGATATATGATTATACACTTAAAAAAAATAAATTATTCACTTAAAATTCTAAAAACTATGTAAACAATAATAAGGAATGTTTAGAGTTAGAATAAAATATGAAAAAAGTTGTGAATAATAAATAAAAGAAGTTAAGCATAATTTTAAATTATTTTTAAAAATAAGTTATTTGAAACTGATCATTCTATATTTGACATAAAAAATTATCTAGTTAAAATTCTATAATATTTTTAAATTACCCTTCTTACTATGTATTTTAATAATTTTTTAATAAAAATTATATCATAAATTTAATAATAAAATTTATTAATATCAGTTAAAAAGAAATTATTATAATAAATTATATAAAAAATTATTAAAATGATTTTTTTAAAAGTTATAAAAATCATAATTCATTTTTAGAGGTTTTCTTTGAATACTTTCCAGCACAGTTATAAATTTTGTTATGAAAATGAGATGTGATTTGTAACTCATTTTTTAACATATTTTAATACATTTTAGTTATTAATTAAAATGTATTAAAAATTATAAATATAATGTAAATTTTACTTTTTTTTTCATTCTTAATTCAATAATTTTGTTTAGTTTTATATTTTTAATAAATTTTAAAAATTAAAAAGCGTATAATAAACAATAGATTCCTAACATTGCTCTGCCTACATGCAGATAGACAAGGAGCAGTGTGTGAAAAGGACGGGAAGGCTGGGAGCATACAAAGGAGTATGTGAAAACTGAAAAGTAACAATTTGCATGGAATTTGACGGTGGAGAATGCAGGAGAGAATAAGCGCCCATAACCTATTCATAAGTGATGGTGGACTCATTATCAAAGCAACACACAGTCCCAGACAAGTTAGTGGACTCACTGCAGACCACTTTCTACTCTCCTTAAATTGTACTTTAATTGTTTACCAATCATGATCAAAAGTCAAAACTAATACATATTCATAAATATAAAAGCATTTTTAATTTATTAACATTTACTTTGAAAAAATATACTAATCTTTTATCGATGTTGATAATAAATATTTTAAAAGATGAAAGATCATTTTATACTGGTATAAGTTTAAAATTTTTTATACTTAATATAAATTTTTTATTTAATTTAAATTTAACAAATTATAATTTATTATTTTAATAGTCATTAGATTTAAATTAAATAAAAGACTCAAATTTAATAAAAAAATTATGTTTAATTTTAAAATAGTAAATTTTATGTAATAAAAATTATTTTTAATTCCTTAACTAATGATTACCATCTTCCTTTCAGTGAAGTCTAAACCAATAAATCCGACAAATGAGATAGGGACAAAGAGAGTAAAATGCAAAAACAAGTGTTAATAAACCTCCAAGTCGTTGAGACAAGTGGAGAAGTGTATGAGACAAAGAAAGTGATTGGTGTGAGAAAATATCAGGTTTTGAAATGGAATCTCTTTCTCTCTCAGCTTATCTCGTGTTACCAAGCCCATACACCTCACCACCACTGTCTCATGCGTTGTATTTATGATTCTACTTATAGAGACCTTTCACACTTCCCAATTATATTTTACACTTCTCTTCCAAGCTCTTAATAAATCCCCCTTTTCTCCTCACTCTAGTACTCCTACTTGTTCTGTTATTCCACTGGTGAGCCATTGTGCTCACATAATTTTAAATACACCTACTTCTCACTATAAAATGTACAGATTCTAACGGGTATTTTTAATTTCTGGGTTTCAGAATATAGAGATGGAGGATGAAGAAAAGGTGGGGAAAGTGGGAGAAAGCGAAGGAGAAGATGCATCAAGAGTATTCCCATGTCTATTCTGTTCAAGAAAGTTTTACAGTTCTCAAGCTTTAGGAGGACACCAAAATGCTCACAAGAAAGAAAGAACAGCTGCAAGAAAAGCCAAGAGGGTTTCTGAGTACTCCTGTGCTTCCTTTTCTTCCCCTTTGGTTTTTGCTCCAACCCATCATCATCTAGATATGTTTATCACTGCCCATGCTGCAAAACTACCTCATATCCCAAGCCATCAAAATTCACAACAATTAGGATCAAATGGTGCCCCTAGATTTGACAGTGGCAAGAGTTTCGTTAATTGGCAAAATAGTAGCTTCAACTGGGGTGACACATCTCAACATACACCGTTGATAAGTAACAACCAAAATGTTGAAATGTGGATAAATGGTACAGAGAAAGAGCAAAAGCTTGATTTATCTCTTCATTTGTAGACATTGTATAGACTGCAAATGAGAAGATGCATTTTTCTCAGAGCTAGGGAGCTGCGGGACTCGTCTTTTGGGTAACTGAGTTTCATTTTCCGCATTAATATTTGTACTTCGCTTTCCATAGCAAATTCCTCCATTTTACTTTCTCTGTTATTTGCATATGAATTGATGAATAAGAAGTGAACTTAGGTTTTTTTTATAACGGAAATAGAAAAAAAGAGCAAACTTTAAAATTTAAAACACAAAGGGATTGAGGTTAATTAATATATAACTGTTTCAATTTTAATTTGTAATACTAAGCAGGTTACGAGTACCAATACCGAGTATAAGATAATATATAAATATAGAACATTTTTATAATATTAGAATACAATCGAGTATACTAATAGTGTTTATTCTTATTCTTTTCTCCGTTATCATTCTATTTCAACTACTTTTATATATTTTTTAAAATCCCCTTTAATTAAAAATTCATTTTAGGTTTTTGTATGTTGTCACTCCCTTCATTAAAAGTAATAACTTGACAAAAAATCACATTTCTTTTAAAAGAAAATAAAATATATATAATAAATTTTAGTATAATAAATAAAAAGAATAAAAAAAATATGTCAATGTTAATTGTTAAGCAGCTTAAGAAGAAGAAATATGAAAGAATACACCTTGCGCCTGTACTAGCTTTTGGAATTAATGTAACATAATACTTTGCAAATTGTTTTAAGAAGAAAAATTATGAAAGAATACAACTTGAACTAATGTTTGTAGGGAAAAAAATAGAATTGTTATTTGGGAACAAGATTGTCCAACATAAAAAGGATTTTTATTTCAACCAAATATCTAACATGATTTTTATTTGTTTGCTAATAGGGTTTAGGGAGGGGAGTAAAAGTAGATTAAGTATGACTAAATTTTTAATTAAGGACATTTTAAGAAAATAATAATAAAAACAATTGAAAAGAGAGTGGAAATAGACAAAAGGGGGTGACGATATGCACCCTCCTACATTATATATATATATAAACATTTACAAATATTGTATAGATGAAAAATTATATATAGTAATTTTTCTTTTGATAAATATAACATTTAATAGTATCAATACATTAAATATGATAATTTTTAATAAAAATTAATATATAATTTTTTATCATATATAATATTACACAGGTTTAAAAAATCGAATACATATAAATTAAAATATATTTATATTTATATATATGTATTGAATATTTCATAATAAATTTAATATAATCTTAATTAAATAATAATCTTATAAGAAAAATCTATAACTAAAAATTTTAATAAATTTTATAAAATATAAAAAAAATTACTAATAATTAAAGAATTTTGATAACCTCGACTTTGAGAATTAAAGATAAACAACCAATGAGAGTAAAATTTAATTAAAAAAATATTTATTATATTTTTATAATTTTAATACTATATATGTATATATATATATATATATATATATATATTTGTTCATAAATATTTTTATTTATAAATACTCAAATTAAGTAATTAAAAAGTCCACAGTTAAATAATAACAATGATATGCTTATAATACGAATGCTTTTAATTATAGGTGTATAGAAATTTATATCTGACATGAATGCGAGATGCAGGCCTTGGAGGATGTTTGAGAGCTAAACAGCTGAATTATTTAAATGCCATGTAACTCAAATATACCTCATATTATGTAACATGCACATCACCTGCCCATATTTTTTTTAACTAATTGACAATCGTCAACACCACAAATTAATCAGCAGCAGTGACAACCTATACAGAAATCAACATGAAGGAATATCGGGTGTTGAAAAAGGAAAGCGTGGACAATGGTGCGGTTGCCTATAGATAAACGAATGGTAGGTTGTAAGTGGGTTTACAAGGGAAATAAGAATATTGAACACTTTAAACACAAACCAAGACTAATTGCATATGGTTGTTATCAAAAGAAAGAATTGATTTTGATGAAGTATTCTCTCTAACGCTGTGTCATGTGAGAAGGACTCGAGACTTGAACAACTAGATGTTAAAATTACTTTTTTATATAGTAATCTTTTAGAGCAAATTTACATGACACAGTTAAAGGGATTTCTAAAGTCTGATAAAGAGGACTACGTATACGTTCTTAGGAACTCTTTAGCCTTTAACAATCTTTAAGACAATGGTTAGTACTGGATTCACAAGAAACTAACATAATAATTATGTTGTGACATTTATTTTTATTTAGTGAAACTCTTGTGGGTTTTCATGCTCTTATGGCATGTATATTAGAAGCACTATTGAGATTTTGATAAATGTACTAAACTTTTATTTTATTAAATGAGTAAGGGTTGTTGTATTCATAAGGATTGGAAGATATATTTATACTTTTTATTATCTTAATTAAAATTTTTAACAAAAAAAGTATTAATATTTACACAAGTTATTCATAAGTTCAAAGATTAAAATTTATTAAGATGTAAAAATATTATGGTCCAAGTTAGGATTGAATTTCATTTTTTCTCTTCCATATTTTGATGAATATTGAATCGTGCATTAGGGTTTATTTTAATATTTTGATGAATATTGAATCCAATGGAATTCAATATTTTTATATTAACTGAAAACTAAGCAAAGACTTGGATATGCTTCACACTTTCTCGCTCAAGTTATTCAAGTGAGGGATTCTAGCTTGAGCAAAAAAAGATCAAACTAAAATTTTCTTTTACCTTTACTTCCATCTTCATAAACTCCTAAAAATCAAGAAATGTAACAAAAGAAGATTAAGATAAATCTTCATCTCAATATTTAAGTCAAAGAAAGTAATTAAATCAAATTCTTCTAAATTAAAAAAAAATTAAATTTAAATTTAATTTATTGAAGTAAATAAATGTTCAAATTTATGCAATAATTATCTTATCCATTGTAAATGTAAAATTAAGTTAGAAAGTTGATAACCAAAAATAAATTAAAATTTTAATTAAATTAGGTTAATTTTTAGATTTAATATTAAAAAATAGACTAATTCAATTCAAACTAATTTATATATACATACATAATTATATTTATAAAATTACTATACCTCTTATGCTTGTAACTATAGAGATAATTATCAATTTTATTTTTTTAAGTCTTAAATATACATTTAGTTTATCAACTAAAAAAATTGATTTTAATTATTATATAAATAATTTATTATAATTGTTACAATATGTCATTTTATTACATTTTGAATCTAATAATAATAAACTTGTTAACCAACAACAAGTTTATTAATTTAATAATTTTTTTAATGTGGCAGTATATATTACAAAGTTATAAAATAGTGAAGCTTTCTCCTTCCTCTCTTCTTTTTCCTCCAACTCCTTTATCCCTTTTTCTCTTAACTCATTAGTTTTGTCTCCCCTCCTGCAGCTTTCCCTCTTCTTTATGACAGCTCTCCCACCCCTTTTCTCCTAACCCACTAACCATATCTCCCTCTCTTACAGCCTCTCTTTCCCATTCTCACATAACTTTCCCTCTCTTTTCTCACAACTCCCCCAACCCTATCTCCTCCCACAGCCCCCTTTCCCCAAGACTATATGTAATTAGTTAATCTTGTAGAAGTTGGAGAAAATCAAATAGTAATTTCTTTAGGACCAATGTAGTAAATAGGATTTCATTTACCAAAATCAAATAGTAATTCCTTCTCTTCTTTGTCACAGACTCTCTGCTAACATAACCGGAATATTTTTATTGTTCCTTCTGTCACCAATTTAATATTATTTTTATTTTTTAAACTTCATAAAATTTTATTGAGGTTTATTCTCGAAGGAACAAAAATATAATTAGCTATGAGCTTTTGCTATCAAATTCAAGGACTCATGTGATTGTTTCTAGATGTTTTAGTTGAATTTACTTTTGTAGAGGGAGCAAGTGTATAAAATTGAATTTAAAATCAATTTCAATTAAAATTGGATTCAAATTCATTTTAAACTAATTTTAAATTTTAAAATTAGTTTTAAATCAATTTTAAAAAAATTATAACTAGATTTTAAATGAAGTTGGATTGATTTCGTGTCATATACATTGATCATCTCGTTGCATTTATGTTAAGCAACAACAGCCTGTATAACCCCCAAATGCCCTCCTTATGTGCAATTCTCCTTAATGCAAATTGTGTGTTCTTATATGGTATATTAGGTCTCATTCCTTGGGTCTACATTAAAAAGGGCAGCAAAACTTATAGTGTCTCACATGAGCACTGATAAGTGATAATAAAGTAAAGGAAACTTTTTATTCTATTGTCTTTGGTTTCAACAAAATATTTGCAAGACAAAGTTCATGAATATTAAAACAAGGCAAATTTGTATCGTTATCATTTATCAATGCTTTAGCATTCATAAAACCTTGCTCTTGAATGGATAACACAATCTGTCCATAATAAACATATTTAAATTAGTTGTTTTATGTGTACAATTTTTCCCAATTCATTAGATAGAGGTGGTGCTATCTTACATGGCGATCAAGTAGGCAGAGAAACACTTGGAGTCTAGTTTTGACAACCCAAAAGAAAATTATAAACATGGTAGTTGCAGCTCCAGCATCAGAACCAACTATCATATTAGCTCCAATTGAAAAATTCTGCATATTTTTTTGTCTAAAATTGTTGCTATAATGACATTGACTATGACTATGATTATGACCCTTATTTAAAATTAAAATAGTTGAAAGAGAACAAATATGTCAACATTCAAGTTTTCAATCTCTAGTCCATGAGATATAACATTTGAGATAGCAGTATATGTGTGTTTTGTTTAGAGAGAGAAAGAGAGAGAGAGAGAGAGAGTTGAAAGGCTTGAGAGATTTAGGATATCAAAACTTATTAGAGAAAGAGAACAAGAGGAGAGAAGGAGGGTTTGGGAGACTTGAAAGGGAAAAAGAGAAGGAGGAAGGAATGCAGGGTTGTAGGAAAAGATAGCGTTGCAAGAAAAGGGGGAGAAAGTTGCGAGAGGGAGAAACAAGACTAGTGGGTTGGAAGGAAAAGAGTGGAGAAGTTACAAAAAAAAAGAAGGAGAGAGAAAGAGAGAAAACTTTACTTTATTACACTTTGTTATGATATAATTGATTTAGTTATTATACAAATACTTTATTATATGTCATTTTAGCATCATTAAAAATTATTACTCAATAATAATAATTTATAAATAATTAATTATTTTTAATGATGTCAAAACAAAAAGACTAAAGTATAATAAAATATTTGTATCAAAATAAAATGTGATTTTTTTATTATAAAAACTAATTGATGAATAAATAAGCATGTGTGTGTTTTGATTCTCTAAATTATGTCCTATTATTCAAAACTTGTTAACAAGCTTATTAATTTAGTGATTTTTTTTAACGTGACAATATGTATTACAAAGTTATAAATATTTTTTTATAAAACACAAAAATACTTATTTTCTCAAAATTATTAAAAAATAATTTTTTTATGATAACTGAAAGCATTTAATAGAGTAAATTTGATGTTTCTTAATATATGTTCTTGGAAACATTAAAAACAGGTTATTATTATCTTACTTATGAATTTGAAGAATTTAAATACATTTATTATTGATAATTATAAAAAAAATAAAACATTTTTTATGGTAACTAAAAACATTTACCAAAGTGTATTTAATGTTTTAATATATGTTCTTGGAAACATTAAAAATAGGTGATCACTATTTTACCTATGAATTTAAAGAATTTAAATACATTTATTATTGATAAGTCTATATTTTGTTATATTTTTATAGCTTATATATTTATGAGTAATCATTATTTTATCAGATTTTTACATTAATTTTTATTATTATTGTGCAGTTTAATGTGAAAAAATCATAACTAAGTTTTGGGTGCATTTTGGGCACAAATTAGATTGAAAATTGGGCTTTGCAACAGCCAACATGCCCATATCCTTGCGACCAACACGGGTGTTTCAAGAACATGCAAAACTATGCTTTTAGTCTTGCAAGGTTGTGCTTACTTGCAAGAAGTCCAACTCTAAAGCAATTTTAGGGTTTTCAACCTCTATTTACATATTTAATCTTGGTGTTGGACAGTCGTTGATGACAATGGGAGCGTTGAAAGCACTTCTTGGGATCTCTTTATCTCTTCTTTATTGGAGACTCCTCTAATTTGCATTTATTTTTTGATTACTATGGATTAGTTTATTATTATTTTGATTTTTTTTATATTATGTCTAGCTAAATCTATAATTATAGTTATGATAGATTATTTGCATAACTCTATGAAATTTTTATGATTTATGATAATTTCGTATTTTTCATTCTTGATTTATATTTATCTAATTTCGTTATATTTGTATGTCAAAATTGACAACTCTTGAACATATCATAATTAATTATAATGTAGGTTAATAGATCTATAGGTAAAACGCGATAAAGGATTAAGTGATCAAGTTTAGTTTTTCTCTTTCAATTATTATTTAAATTAACAGTTTATAGGCTTTTTATGTTTTTTTTTCTCTTTTACCTTGAATAATCAATGATATTTTAGAAAAAAGACTGTTAATATTGCATGATCACCGAGTATTAATAAATTTAGTATGGGTGATTAACAATCATAAGAAAACCAGAATTAGAATTAATCTAAAAGAAAATATAGAGAAGTGTAAAGATGAAATCATATGTCCTATATTTTTCTAGATTAGTTCATTGCTAGGGACTGTACTATTTTAATTTCTTGTTAATTAATTTTATATTCAAATTCTTATTATATTTAATTTTGAATCTTTTAAAGTCAAATAATTAAATTAATAATTTTTTATTAATTAAAAACAATCCTTGTGAGACGATATTTTAGAAACTTATTTTGGAATCCTTTATTATTTTTTTATGGATATAATTGTTAGTGAACAATTATATACCTCAACAAAATAAAAAGTATTAATTTTTTTTACGTCATTAATTATATATTTTAAATTGTTTTTAAAATAATTTATTTTTCAAATATTTTAACTAGAGAAATAATTTCACTATATTTTTTTTTATCAAAATTTAAAATTAAATTTTATAATTACATTTCAATGCTTTTCTACTCTCTGTTCTTTCTATTTTCTCATAACTTCCTTTATCAAAAAATATGAAAGATAAAAAAGAAGTTATTTTCCATGAAAATCAAAATTAGTGGTGTAAATTTTAAATTTTTAATTAATAATTTTGAATAAAAATTATTCCTTATTTTATTTAAGTGTCTGATAAGAATAATTATAATAATAAAAATAATCATTTTTTGGTCATCAATTTTTAAACACATGAGCTCTATATTGGTTTTTCTTTTAATATGACCTAATCAAAATTTGTTATTGTAGAATAATATTTTAAAATAAATAAAATACATGTCATATAATGATGAAAAATATTTATTTATTAATTAATTTAATATGTATTTAAATCCATCAATTTTTAGAGGAACTTTAGAATTTTCCTTAATAATATTCATTATTGATCAATTTTTTTAATTTTGTTAAATTTTTAAACATCTAAAAGTAGTAATTTTTTTACATGAAAATAAATGTGTTTATTATTTACACTCCATAGTTAACATTTTTGTTTTCACATCTGTTTATCTTTTATAGTAACTTTTACTTTTACACGAAAATATAAATTTTAATAGCAATATTTAAAGTGACTAAAATAAAATATCTTCATATAAAATTCAAATAAATTACAATAAATTAATAAAAAAAACAAATTAATTTGTATTTTTGAACTCTTTGTTGTGATATAAGTATAAATTTTCTTTTAATTTTAATTCAAAATAAAATATTTTAATTTATACACGTAATAATTGACTTTGTATGGGTGATATTTCCTGCTGCAAATTTAATTTTATTATATTTATGTAATTAAAAATAAGTTTAATTTTTTTCTCCAAAAATGAGTTTAATTTTAGTGTGATGTAACTATAAATATCTTTATACTATTAACCAATCAGAATATATCATTGATATAACTTTTATATTAATTATTGAGAAATGACCAAGTTGGTTTAGAAGAGTTATTTTATTTAATAACTCTTATAAATATTAAATTTTGTTAATTCTTCATTAAATTAAAATTCTCCTTAAGTAGGTTAAATATACCAAAATTTATACAAATAAATTTTTTAATATCTTATTAAATGACTTTATTTAAATATTTAATATACAACTTTAAAACTCAAATAAATATTAAATATAAAATTATATAGTTGCAAATATTTAATTTATTGAAATTTAATATACATCAAAATGAATATATTACTTTGTTCTACGATTAAAATTTAATATTTATATTAAGGTCAAAGTTATTCTTGAAACAGCTTAAATATAAAAATTAACTATCTTTTTATATAGTAAATCACAATTGAATGATATTGTAAAAGATAATGTATTTAAATCAAATTGATTGAATATTTATATTTATCATGTCCTAAAGAGAAGAGAAGCAAAAATGGAAACTAAAGATTGAATGGTAAAATAAAAGAATCGATAAAATTAGATAAGATGACAAGTTTTATTCAAAATCGATAAAATTCAACCATCTAAGGCATTAAAATTAGAAAATTAGATAATATTTTGTATTGTAAATTGATACAATGCAATCATCAAAGTAAATACGATCCTTGTCACAAATTATTCTTACGGACGATTAGATATCAAACCTCAGTTAACTTGCTTTTAAGATATTCAACTCTTCCGATTATCCCAAACCTTCTTAGTTTTGTATACCAAACTTTACCAATTTTATGAAGAAAAGAATACACGTTTGCACATACTACCATACCCATATACGTATCCTACCGTATCATGTACGGTTAAGCATTTAACCCACCCACGATTAGCCCAATGTGTTTAGACCCTTGAATCATGATCCTTGTTGATAGGTGCACGCTGCATTTTCATGTGTCTAACTTGTACCAATTCCATTATATAAATATTAAAGCCCTTTGTTTTATAATTCCATTTTCCTTCCGTATCTTGTTTCTTCTCTGCATCCTTGGGATCTTTTGCATAGACCAACCCCAGAAGAAGAAGGAAAAAAAATAAAAAAAATAAAAATCAACCTTTTTGTAAATACCCACCTTTTGTTCTGCTAAAGATTCGATTTTCTATTTTAATTTGTTTATGCTATTTATCTTTTTGGATCCCAATTGGGTTTGATCTTACTCTTACTCTTTCAATTTGGTGATTGCGTTGTGGTGTTGTTTGTGTTTTAATTTTCCCTAGATAAATCTGATGTTATCAAATTCATGAAATCTTGTGATGATTAGATTTTGTTCAGGGTTTGGGTAGGGGGTTAGGTTTAGGGTTTGCTTTGAATTGGTGTGGTGGTTGGATTTTGATCTGGGTATGCATGACTTTCCTTGGGATTTAATTGGGTTTTGGAAATTCGAACATAGTTGATCCCCAATCTTTTATGATGGGATTCTTTTCTATTTCTTCATTCTAGTGGGTTCTAATTTTTTGTTTGTTTTGGTGATTGGATTGGGGTGCAATTGGAATCTCCTACAATTGCCATGTTTGTTATTAAGGCAGGGGTTTCTTGATGGGAATCATAACTAGTTTGCTTGATGATCTATATAAAATTCAGTATTAGATGCCTTGTTTGGTCAAATGAGTGGTTCCCTGCTTGTTCTTGAATCTTGAGAACTTGCAAAACTTTTTGGGTTGATACTACTGTATGGTGTTTTGTTTTGTGATTTTTAATGTTGTCTATTGGTTTCTACTTGATATTTGATATATGAGCAAAGAATCAAATTTGATACTATAGTTTGTGATTCATCTCCATTCAATTGATTATATGTCTCTAATAGTTCTTAATGCCTCCATGCTTTTGGACTATTGAAGGGTATTTTGGACAGGCATCCTGAATGTGTAAAATTTGATGATCTTAAGTAGCAATAATGTGGACACCTAGATTGCATTAGATAGGAAGAAATCCTGCCTACACCGCTAACCTTACTCTTTGAGGCTATTATTGTTATCATAAGTTTTTACCTTGACTTGCATTCTACAAACCCGTCCTGATAATGTCTTATTTGCTTCCCCAAGAACTAAGACCAACATGCTGTTCAGGAAAATAAATCTAGCCACCCATGATATATTCAGAGAGTTGCTTCTGTAAGAATAATGCATTGAAGCCACTGCATTTCTTATTCACTATCTTGCTTAATGTTCCTGTAAATTTTACCCAATATCTAGACAGTCTCATTTCTCCATCTATCCCTTTTCATAGTGTCCATGGAACTATGTGAATTCTGGATTTTCTTGTTGAGTTTCAGTTCCATTCGAATGCACTTCTAGGTTGAATTACACTATTACGGACAGCCACTCCTTTGTTTGATGTTCCTAAGGTACAAAACAACATAAATGGGATTCGTTGACAACCTTAGAGCACAGAATTGATCCATGTTGTGATCTAGGATATTAGATGATTCACCAATGAACATTTTAGATAGCAAACTCTCTCAATATCATCTTGTTCAAAGGATAGTGTTTAGTTGATGAAATAGTTTGATTGGAGTGTCCTTATTTCTCTGTTTATATGCTTCTATTTCTCACTGCTGATTCCTATATTTTAAATTTATTTGATATTGAAATATATTGGATTGAGATCTTGTGTTACTTAACATAGTTTTTTTTCCTTCCTTTTTGGTGGTATACCTGCAGATTTTGGGCTTGTTGGTGATTCTGTTGTACAGAAGTGTTCGTTAGTTATACATTTGTCCAAGATTGTAGTATTCATTGATTCATTTTTTCTAACGTACTTTGGAGCATTGCATAAGTGATTGCCCTGTGATTCTTTTGTGAAGTCATCTAAAGGTTCTATAATTACAAATTGATACTCAGAAGCCTCCGGTAGGGAATATAGCTAGAGCTTATTGCCTTGGTAAGTTTACAAGCAAACAGTAAAGCATGCTGTTACCCCCTTGTAATATATTTCCTTTCTACAAGTTGCCTTTTGCATTGCCATCACTGAATCATTGTGTGAACTATTTAATTTCCTTGTTTTATATGGATCTCCTTTTTCATATTTTCCATTGATCACTGTTTATTAGTCAAATATACATGTTAAAAATGAATATTAACGCTTAGTTTTCTTCTATGAGTAAGCTGATTTTATGATGAGAAGACTTCTTTTTTTTTGTATGAGGAGGCTGGATTTTACAATGAGCCAGAAAACCTTCTTAAAAGTTTCTACTGTATGATAAATATTCTTTTGGAATTTGACTCATGAAATGATATACTAATAGTAACTAAAGGAAAGTTCAATTACATTGAAAGTTAAAACATTTGTATATCTCATGTTCAGGTTTTGATAAAGATACAAAGAGTAGTTTCGGTGGATAAGTTTTATTGTCATAGACATACCTAATCAAATTAATTTTGGTTCACTTGTTAATCAATGACACTGTTCTAGTATAAGCCATTCAGTATCCTAATGATATGCTGGTTGCAAATCAAAGATGATATTGTTATATTGATGTCATCCATTAGGAACTATCAAGAAATAATGCACTTTTGTTTAAAATTATGAATCAAATGATGCTATTGGGCAACCTAATATCTTAGTTAGTGGTACTTTTTGTCAACAGTTTGTTTAGCTAACCATATTATTTTTACTTTTAGTCTTTTATATTGATTTCCTTATAGTCAAGGAAATGAAGATTTCTTTGTCAGGGAAGTTTGAACATCTGAGGAGTGAAAAAATTAAGTGTATTATACTTCTGAGTCAACATAATAGAACCCAAGATGAGGATTATATGTGGATGATCCCAAATATCTTGAATTTTATTTGTGATGTTTCTATTCATATTGAATCATGATGAATTTCAGTTAAATCTCAAAATCACGCAGAGAATCCAAACTTATATGTGTTTTATCATGTGTGATAAGGATAGTCCGTAGGCATCACTGTTGTGTGAAGAAAAGAGCAAACATTATACAAGATTGAGTCAAAGTCAGTTTTCTCTTTTGTGACTTTTATTCCATTTCTATTGTTGGTAAGGGGTAAGGAAAGGAAAATATAATCAAATCAAGAGAAATACAAGGAAATTGGATAAAAGGAAGTGAGTTTTAGTCTGTAAGCAATATTGTCATTCAATCTTGTCACCTTCCTTCTTCCTGTTTTTTATACATTCTTGTTCACATTCATTACACGAGGACAAAGCTTAAGTAGTTCATACTAAGTTTATTATACCTAGTTTTGTTTGTTACCCTTTTTATTTTTCTCTATGCTTGCTCCAAGATATATAGAATTGTTCTTCTATTGTTGACCATGTATTTTGTTTTTATGTCAAAGAATGTGTGCATGTTGTCTTGTTATGAAAAAAAAAATTGTCTGGTACCCTGGTTATCTGCTTCCTATTCTAATGAGTTCAATATGTTGAGTAGTTAACACCGTGCGAGGAAGATGACTGGTGTTAAGAGAAGATTATGTAGTGATTCAGATATCCATGCTCTTCACAAAGAATTGGATGAAGTTTCATGTCCTATCTGCATGGACCATCCACATAATGCTGTTCTCCTCCTTTGCAGCTCTCATGAGAAGGGCTGCAGGTCTTACATTTGTGATACCAGTTATAGGCATTCAAATTGCTTGGACCGATTTAAAAAAATGAGGGACAATTCTAAGGAGAACCAAAATTTACCCAGTACTTTAGGAAACCCAAACAACTCTGGTAATAGTTTTGATATTAACCTTACTGTGCAATCTGACATGCATGATGTTAATGAACTCCATCAAAATGAAATTAATACTCTATTGTCTGTTGGACTTCCACAAGGATCAAGACAGGGTGATGCCCAAGATCCAAGTAGACATTTAGATCAACATGATGAAGGCATTTTAGAAACTGCTGATTCTGAGACCTTGCAGGACAGGGCTGTGCTTGAGGATTTAGATGTAGATAATTCATCTGAGTCAAAACTGAGCTTGAAATGTCCTTTATGTCGAGGCACTGTGTTGGGCTGGGAGGTGATTGAAGAGGCTAGAAATTATCTGAATATGAAGAAGAGAAGTTGCTCAAGGGACTCATGTTCGTTTGTTGGTGATTATCTGGAATTGCGCAGGCATGCAAGGAGAGTTCATCCTACTTCTCGCCCCTCTGACATTGATCCTACAAGAGAAAGAGCCTGGCGACATTTTGAGCGCCAGAGAGAATATGGTGATATTGTGAGTGCTATTCAGTCTGCCATGCCAGGAGCTGTGCTAGTCGGGGATTATGTTCTGGACAATGGAGATGGTATTGGTAGGTTATCAGATGAACGTGAAGGACACATGGGTAATGCTAATGGGCCTTGGTTAACAACCACCATCTTGTTTCAAATGATGGATAGTACCATTGAAATTGTTAGGGAGCCAAGAGCTCATTCAAGTGCATGGACAAGGCATCGTCGTTCATCTGACCGCAGGCGCTATCTTTGGGGTGAGAATTTATTGGGTCTGAATGATAATGAAGTTGAGGATGATCTACGTTTATTTCGGGATGTGGGTGAAGATACATCTCCCGTGCCAAGGAGGCGTCGACGTTTGACCCGAACAAGGTCCCATGAAGATCAACCATGATGATTGCCATCACTTATCTGGTAATATTCATAGTCCAGTTTTTTGGCAGGAACTTAGATTACTTGAATTGTTTTGGATTTGTCATCAGTTAACCCACTTGGTTTCTTCACTAGAATTGTTTGAACAGCATGCAGAACTTGTTCAAAGTTATGCATGGGAAAACATGCATTCAGGCCTATGTACCGACTTTGGAACATGTAGAGTATGCTGAAGCAGCAAGTTCAGAATAAATCATGGACAAATATCCTTAAAACACAAGTTTCACTTAAACAAGGAGAATCTCTGGAAGGATGTTTTCAAAGGTTTCTTGAATTTAAAGGCATTTTGCCTTGGGAGCACAACTTCTGGATGATTGGCAGGTTGTTGCATAGTTAATATTGGTATTATGTATAACATACTGTGAATCTACTGTTCAATCATTATTTCTACTAGATTGATGTTTGTTTTAAGCTTGGGATGGGAATACTATGTGATTTTTATGTGGCACATTGTATCTTTATTTGCTGGCATGTCACAATAAATCTAGGTGAATGTTGCATGTTTGTAAAGGCTATGCTTCTATATAGTTAATATTTTTTGGGACGTTGAAAGAAATGGGAGAAAAGAGAAAAAAAAAGGAACTAGTGATTTAGAAAAATAACTAAACTCGACAGTGAGAAGAGCAAGTGTCAAAACAATTTTAATATTTGAAAGTTTAAATATATTTTATCATAATCTTAACTTTTAAATTCAATTAAAGGTTGTAATTATACGTTTTTCTTTCTAAATGGTACAGTTTACATCAAAGACCAATAGTAAAAATAGGCAGAATTTACGCCTACGTTGTTGTGATAAATAATAATTTTTGAGAAAGGGAAAATAGGACATTTTTTAATTTTAAATTAAAAAATTATATATTATTTATTATGATAAATTTATAATAATATATTATTTTATATTTTTATTTCAAAAATATTTATTTAAAATGTAAAATTTGTTTTTTTCTTCTATCTCTTTTCAAACTTTCCTTCCCAAATAATCTCTTAACTAAAATTCATCGTTAATGTTGTATCCTTTGTGACAACTGTATCTCTAATACTAAAGAGATTTTTATAGAAATAAAAGAAAATAAATTATATATTATGTTTTTTAAATTAAATATATTTACATAAATGTCCTCATTTTGACAAAATAAAAGTTGACTAAAATTAATTTTTGTACAAAATAAAAGTCAATTATAATTAATTTTTATTTAATATTTTAAAAACTTTTCCTGGGAAGTCGAAGTCGATTGTAATTGATTTTAAAACTATTACATTCTAATTTAATAAAAAAAAATAGATATCAATTATAGTATATTTTTAAAGACTATTATAATCAATTTTATTACAATGCAAAAGTTAATTATAGTAAATTTTAGAATCCACTGGTACATTCAAATATTTAATACAATGATTTCACATTAAAAGTATATTAATTTTTTTAATAATTAAATACTTTTGTTTGGAAATATTATATATTTTATTTGATTTTTAAATCTATTTTTTTATGAATTTTAATTTTAATTAAAATATTAATTTTATTGTTTATATGATATGATTTGAATACAGGGTATCAATTCATTATCATAGATTTTAGTTTAATAGAAAGTCAATTATAATAAATTTTAGTACACATTGATGTGTTTGGGTATTTAATTCAATTATATTTACTAAGACTCAAATTTGAGATTACGTGTTAAATTGTAATAATCTCCTACCAAGTGAATAACTTTAATTAAGTAGTGAATAACCTTAATTAAATTTATAAAGTTATGTAATATAATTTTAATTTTTATTTAAAAATTTTAATTTAATAATATATCTATAATGAATAAATTATAATATAAAAATTTACAATCAAACATGTGGATCAATCATTTACTTAATATGAAATCATTCTAGTTTAACTTGTCTCAGGTTTGAATTTTAATAAATACAATAGTATTAAATACCTAAACGCATTAATATGTACTAAAATTTATTATAATTTATTTATGCATTGCAATAAAGTTAATTATAATAGTCTTTACAAATCTACTATAATCAATTTATGCTTTGTTATTAAATCATAATGCAACAATTTGAAAGGTAAAAGTCATTGAAATTTTAAATAGAAGTTAATTATAATTTATTTCTGTGTTGCATAAAAATTAATTTTAATCAGCTTCTATTTTATTAAAATCAAGACATTTATATAAACGTATTTAATTCGGAAGATATGCATAATATGTAAAATTTTTTTATTTCTGTAAAATTCCCCAACAATAGCATTGGTACTTAAATACTCCAAAGAACAATGTCATTTCAGTTAAACACAAATAGATTAATATATTTGTGGATTAAGCGAGCGTCTTTTTTTTAAAGAAGCTCACTTCTTACTTAGACTCTGAAATAAAAAAAATTAAATTTAACCTAAACTTACATTTTATTTTTAAATAGATCAAACAAACTCAAACCAAATAAAAAAATAACAAATGGGTCAGGCAAAAAATGTTCAAAACTTATTTAAATTTACACTTTAAAATTTAAATCTTATATTTTAAAAAAAAAGTCAAAAAATGTTTAAAAAGTTTTAACATAATTCTTTCTTATGCATAAATTCCTGTTATTTATGCAAGGATAAAATTTATATATTATTTTTTTAGTTGTTGTTAGTATTGTTTATTAATTAAAATTAAAATTTTATTTTAATATATACTTAATTTTAAATTTTTAAAGCGAGAAATAATTTAAATTAAATAAAAATATTTAAATGACAACGGGGTATAAAATAGAAGAACTACTTAAGAAACAGTATTTATGTTCGATTATAAAAATAATTATAAATTTCAACCATACCTTTTATGAGTCGGAGAGTACTCAAGACTAGTACGCATTTAATTTAGTTTTGAAAACAAAAATCTAAATTTTCCTAAAATAATTTTTATTAAAAAATTATTTGTGTAAGGTGCTCATAAATTAGACCTTACAGGATTCTGGGTTAAGTTTGATCACAAATCTAGTTAACCAATCTAATTTGGGCCAGTGCTACATCATATTTTATAATTTGCAAATTTTTAAAATTCATAATAAATTAAAAAACCTTTTAAGTTATTATATTTTTTTATATTGATATAGTTTGTTAATGTAACATCCTTGAATCCTAATTTTAAATTTTAGCTATAGAAATTAGTTAAAAAGATAAATTACGTTTTTTTACTCTGATTTAAATTAAAATCACTTTGATTTCAATGATATGAACTTTGATGAGTAAAACTTATCACTTTATTTTTAACTTTATAAAAAAAAAAATTCAGTTTCGTTTCTAATTTAATAAAAAAAATCATTTTAGTATGTATTTATATTACTAAAAAGAAAGTAAATTCTTTTTTAATGATTGATTATACATATTATATGTATAATCAATTATCATATTGCATAAAATAAGTTTTATGTTACTAAAATTTAAATTTTTAACAATTTAATGATTTTAAAAATATTTAATCTTTCAACTTTCATTTCGTAGAGGAGAGAGAGTAGGTCTTTTGTGCCTATGTGAGGTTCCCTCTTCCTAAAGTTTTCTTTGCATATGGTTGTATCTTCGGAGAATTTCTAAGTACATCGGAAAGCGTTTTTAATGACACTCACAAATTGTGTTGCCGAATTAAACGATGTTAAATTGAATTTCACACAATAAAAATAAATTTATTAGGACACAAATAGGAATTGAAATAAGAAGAAAATTAATAAAAAGTGAAAATGGAATAGAGATGAAAAATGGTGCCATAATCGCAAGATTAATAAGCTAATAAACGATCGTTATAACACTCTTGACCTTTTAATAAGATAAAAGAAAATTGGCTTACTCAAAAATTTAGAGTCACACGCTCTCACAAGAGTATTCAATCTTAATTTGTATTCAAATCTAATTAAAAGTGTGTCTACAAGAGTTTATATATGTCTAATGCTTATAAACCAATACTAACGCAAACCCTAATGGGTTTCTTGTACTAACAAGCCTAAATTTAAATAAATTAAATAAAATAATAAGATTTTATCCTAAATAAAATCTCAAAATAAGTAATAACTAATATTAAAATAAATAAACTAAACATAATAATTAAATTCTAATAAAACTCATTAGAGTCCTAATTCTCCAAACATATGTAATTGACCATCTTGGACTTTTCTAACTCCAAATTGAGCTCTCTTTCAAATAAGACAGTAACAATCTTTTCTAAGTTCTTAAAGTCCTTCCAATGTCTTCAAGTCTTTGTCTTCAATAAGTTTTCCTTGATTCTCATCAATCCCTCCTTCTTCAAGATAATTTGTCCTCAAATTCAACTCTTTATTACCTACATCAAAGATAGAGAAATCAGATACATTAAAAGTAGCACTAACATCATATTTACCTAGTAAGTTCACTTTGTATACATTATTCCCAATCCTCTCTAAGACTTAAAATAATTCATCTCCTCTTTTTTGAAGCTTTGACTTTTTTTGTACGGAAAACCTTTTTTTGCGCATATGTACCCAAACCCAATCTCTAGATTCAAATTCTACTTTCTTCCTTCCCTTATTGATATACTTAGCTTGTTGCTCCACTTTCTTTTCAATTTTATGTTTTATCTTTTTAATTAGAAGTAGGCAGTAAGATACTTCTTTAGGGAAGACATCATCAAAATCCTGCAGAAGAGAGGAAACACTATTAGGCAAAATATTGTTAACAAATGAATCTATAAATTTATTATGAAGACTTTCTTTATACAAAAGTAGACACATAGGTCGAGAAGCCAACAAAACTTTTCTCACTTTCTTTTCTCTCACAAACAAATTTTCTCTCATTTTACATTGATTTTTCTCTTCACCTTTCTTTTCACTCTCATATCTCTCACTTGTAAGTGTCTTCACTTTTTTCCCTTTCTTTTTAAATTTGCCCTCAAACTCACTCTTTTTCTTTTCATTTCTTCTCTCATCTTTTTTCTCTTGCTCTCTTCTTAACTTCATGACTTTTTTATCTTCATGTACTTGACTAGGAGTCATGTGCACTAAAGTGATTGTACACCCTTTATATAAAAACATAAACTTGTTGGAATGATCATTACGAATAGCAATATGACTTGCTTCCATAGGCATTATATCACATAAGACTTCATCCTTATACTTGTCAATAGAAAAAGTAATCAAAACCTATCTATTAACAACTAACTCTCTTTCATCACTCAACGATTCTAACTTATAGGGCTTAGGGTGAGGAGTAGTAGTAAGATTCAATTTTTCAACAAGTTTAACGCAAGTCACATTGGTACAATTACCACCATCAATAATAAGAGAACAAATCTTTCCACGTACTAAGCATCTTGAATGGAAAATATTTTCTCTTTGTATAGTGTCATCATCTTTAGCTATATTGCTCAAGAGACGCCTTACCATAAGCAAATTTCCTTCATGGCATAAAGCTTCAAAATCACTATCTTCTTCACTTGAAGCATATGTGATTAAGATGAACTTGCACTTGAGATTTCACCATTCTCCTTCAAAATCATAGTTTTCTTGTT